ATCCATCCATCCATCCATCCATCTATCCATCCATCCATCCATCCATCCATCCATCCATCCATCCATCCATGCATCCATCCATCCATCTATCCATCCATCCATCCATCCATCCAACAGAACTTTTACTTCTGCTGTGAAATGTGAAGATTGGGTTGCATGGTGTGCAATGACCCACACCTGCAGCACTTAGGTGGACCCATCCCTCCCATAGTCTCTGACCTGCTCACCTTGTCTGCTCTGCTGCATGAGCTTTTGGACTGTACTCATTTCCCTGCCCTTTCTTCCAGGCAGCATCTCTACAGTGGAGTGGGTGCAGCAGCCACTGAGTGGGTAGTTCCCAAATATGGGGCACCAAGCGTCTGTGCAGTGTCTGTCGTGCCTTTTGTGTGCATAACCAGTTACCTGGCGAATTCCTGCGTGCTCTCTCTCACTTATTTAGGCTCTGCTGTCACTCAGGCTTAGCAGAGAAGTAGCAAGACACAGCGAAGCCAGTGGGAATATGAACCATGACTGGGGCCACCCTGTGGACCACTTTTGGGTTGTCTTTTGCAGTAAGCATCACAGACATCTCTGCTGTTTTGAATGTTCTTTGACTTTGCTCTTGTATGACTTGAGTAAGAAATGACAAATGACACAAGGGTGACTGAATTCATCCTGAAGGGCTTCTCAGACGTGCTTGAGATGAGGGTTGTGAGCTCCATGCTGTTCCTCATCATCTACCTCTTTGCCCTCCTGGGCAACATCTCCATCATCACAGCCGTGACCAGGGACAGCCACCTGCACACTCCCATGTACTTCTTCCTAAAGAATCTCTCCTTCCTGGACATGTGCTACACCTCAGTTACTGTCCCCAGGGCGCTGGTCAGTTCCCTTGCAGGCTCCAATGTCATCTCCTTCTGGGAGTGTGTGGCCCAGCTCTTCCTCTTTGTGACACTGTGTGCCTCGGAATGCTTCCTGCTCACGTCCATGGCCTATGACCGCTGCATGGCCATCCACAGGCCTCTCTTCTACAGTGTCATCATGAGCAGAAAGCTGTGCTCAGAGCTGGTTGCAGTGGCCTGGCTGAGCGGGGCTCTCTATGCCATCTTCCACACTGCCAACACCTTCACCCTCCCCTTCTGTGGGCCCAATGTCATTGACCACTTCTTCTGTGACAGCGCCCCCATCATGAGGCTCTCCTGCAGTGATGCCCGCACCCACAAGGAGGTGGGCTTTGCTGTGGGTGGCTGTGTGATTCTTGGGGCCTGTGCCCTCACTGTCCTCTCCTATGTCTGCATCGTCACTGCTGTCATGCAGATCCACTCTGCGTGTGGCCCCCGGAAGGCCTTCTCCACCTGCTCCTCACACCTTGTCACGGTCAGTCTGTTTTACGTCACGGGGAGCTTTGCTTACCTGACGCCCACGGCCCAGTACTCACCTACCGAGGGGCGCTTAGTGTCTGTGTTCTACTCCATCCTCACGCCCAGCCTGAACCCCGTTGTGTACTGTCTGCAGAACAGAGACATGCACACGGCCCTAAGGAAGCTGCTTGTCCGGTCCAGGTGACATGCTCTCTCACAGCAAGCAATTCCTTGGAACAATGTCCATGTTACCATCCTGCTTGCTTAATCAGTCTTTTGCAGAAATGGATTGCATGTTCTCTGTGTCCTAAAGGAACAAATTAAGAAAATAAAATGCAAATCTGCTGTGGTATTTATTTTGTTAGTTGCAGGTATTTCCATAACTTCTCCTCTATTGAATTTTATTGGATACTTAAAAATAAAATGAGAATACATGGTGCTATTTTAGCCAATTTTTGTTTTTCTTATTCACCTGAGAGGGGCTGTCTTAGTTACTCTCTTGTTGCTGAGACACTATATCTGAGACCCAAAGTTAAAGGAACAGAGGTTTATTTTAGCTGACAGCCTGTAGAGGTTTCAGTCCATAACTGGCTGGCTCCAAGGCAGGGAGGCACAGCAGAAGGAGAAGAAATTCAGTTTCACAGAGGAGAAACTCCCCATGGCATGGCAGGTGGAGGCAGCCAGCCTTCCTTTCCCTTTTTATTCCATCCAGGTTACTTGCCTATTGGTTGGTGCTTTCCATACAAAAGGTGGATCTTCGCTCTTCAGTAAGTTCATCATCCATAACTATCAGTGGGCTAATCCAGTATTACACACCCATGGTCCACACACTCCCACAAAAGCTCCACCTATGAGTGCATGAGGCTTTGGTGGGACTTCTAGATACAGGATAAACCATAACAGAGGGGAGACAAAAGTAGTCTCTGTCTTTTCAGACTCTTGTCCCACTCTCTCTGTCCAAAAGGGAAACATCCTATGTGTTATGCTCACAGAGGGCTGTGTGAAGAGAGGGACAGGGCATTTACATCTTAATGGCTAGGAGCTGGGAAACAGCTTTACCACCCACGGCTTGGTCACAAGTGATTGATACGGCAGGAAAAAGACATCTTCACTTCTTAAAGACGCAATTAGTTTCTGCAACCAGCATGCACATTTGTGTTTGCTGCCCACTGAACATGTAAACGTGCTCCGAATCAGACAAGTGGGTAGGATTGATGGGGTTGCTGTTGGTATGTAGATGTGGGAACGAGAGAACTACGGTATTTTTAAACAACTGGAACTAGACAAGTACTACTAATGTTTGTGCTGACACATTTTTATTTCCACAAGTATAGGAGATAAATCCTACATTTCTAGGTTTTCACATTTATAAAAATTAATGACCTCATGTACAAATGATGTTGAAGGTCTCTAAGTTGCAGACATGAGATTTTTGTTTCTTTGTTTTTGATAGAACACATATGTGCTCACACATATATATTAAAACCAACACAGATATATGGATATTTGACTGTCTTACTATACTTTAGAACAGTGGTCCCAACCTGAGACCAGTTACAGTGTCAAGGAAGACAATTTTCCCACAGCCCCTGGGGGAGTGTGGGTGGTTTGAGGATGCTTTGAATGTGCTACATTTATTGCGCATTTTATTTCTATTATTATTTCCTTGTACTATATTATAAAATAATTATGAAACTCACCATAATACAGAATCAGTGGGAGCCCTGAGCTTGTTTTCTGTAATTAAATGGTCCTTTTGAGGGTGAGGGGGGACACTGACACCCCAAGTGCATTGCTTATGCCCAGTCTGCTTCATAATCTCATTGTCACAACTTCCAAAATCCATGTGTCCCACAGGTATGCTACTGGGCATGGAACAGGCTTCTCAGTGCTTATGAGGCACTCTCAGGGCACCCTGCCTTGACTTTGATCCAGAACACGGAGATTCGAAGTTGTGTCACACACACTTTTAAGGCCTCCATCATTCTTGATGTTAAAGTGGTTGATCTTTTTTTTTTTTTTTTAACACTGACAAAGCTGATTCACTGGGCTTATTCACAAACAGGTCATGGATACATTATTTCACTGTTTTTTTTTTTTTTTTTATGGTTGGGAAGCAAGATTCAGCCCCGTTGGAAAGATGAGGTGGGTGATCATGCTCCATGAGGGAGAAAGCCCTGATTCCGGCTCTCAAAACCTCTGCTAATGTTTGAAACATGTCAGAAATATGAATGTCCCCTCCTGGCCCCTGTAGTTCCAACTTGGCTTTAAATGCAGCCACTGTCTTTGTTGACTTGAACACAGCTGTCATTCTGCCCTAGAAGGGCAGGTTGAGTTCACTGAGTGGTTTAATATATCACATAAGCAAAAAAGTTCTGTGATTCATTCTATGTCACTGAAATGTGCAGCCAGTGGTGGCTGTTTTTCTAAAATCACTGGAACAGCTCTGGTAATTCAAAAAGGCTGGACAGTGATCTTTCAAAAGCTACCTCCCTTCTGTGTGTAAGAGCAGACATGTGGGCTCCACATCAATCTAGTTACAGAGCTGCATGAGCAAACTTAAGGGCATAAACTTTAATGTGGGTGATAATCACACCCTGCAAAATTCTACTAAATTCATGTGACTTTTTCTTTGTAGCCAGCACTGCTCTGTGGATGACACAGTGCACACACGCACACTTGGAAGTGACTTGTTTACCTGAGTAGTGAAACCAGAAAGCCCTCCAGTGGGAGGAGCTGTTCTGTCTGTCCATAATATGCAGTTGACAGAAATGTGCAAATTCATTTTTCCTGATATGCAATCATCCACACGTTTGAATAGCTCTACAGCTGTGGTATTGGCTGGCAACAAAAGTGAATGCAGCATTTTCATGCACATCGTCCTGGAAAGTGCCCTGCACGAAAGCAAGCATTGTGGACTTATTGTCAACAGCAGCGTAGACTCTTCAACCTGGACTGGGTATGGCGGTGACTTGTTAATTCTAACATTTGTCCCTGAGTGTCCTCTGCTGTTTCATCCCAATTCCAAAAAAAAAACAAGATGTAGGGAGACCCAGAAATGTGAATGATACAAAGTGCTATCAGTATACTAGTATGCTCTGGAAAATTTAGTTTTTCTTAATGAAATATTCAAATAAAATACATCATCATAATGTAGTGAGCAACAAGATCAGAAACAGACACAGCAGGGGAGTGAGACGGGTGGTCTTTCTGCCCTCCAGGGTCTGCTGCCACAGGAGGCCGTCCACTCTCTTAATGTCGCCCATGACTAACCAAAGCACAGTGTCTCCCTACACTTGTACATAATAATTTTTTCTGCTAGATGACCTGGTGAGAAGGGAAGAGAAATTCTCAGAGAGTTTGTATTGGCCATCTTCCCCAGCACTGGGTCAAATCTGGACACGCACAACTTAGAAGGGAACTTCATTGCAGCAGATGGCTTGTAGAAGATTCAGTCCATGGTTAGCTGAATCCAAGGCTTCCGTGGGAAGGCATAAGTGATGGCCTTGGAAAGGTGCTCACCCAAGGGAGCACCAAGAGTGAAGGAGAGCAGGAGCCAGGGAGAAGAGTCTCCCTGCGGCTCATGCTCCAGTGACCTTCCCCCGCCAGATCCGGCCTCCAGGCAGCACAGTCAGCTCTGATCTCCTCGTTGGATGAACCCACAGAGGAGTGTCGCACCCTGTGATCCCATCACCTTCAAAGTCATGAGGCTTCTGAGGGACACTGCACATCTAAACCACAGTGGAAGATCTGACTTGGACAAAAAATGGTGAGCACAGCTGGTTCAAACCGGATGAACTCACAAGCACAAGTGCACCTTTTCTTATGTGAAGTGAGTCAAAATATTCAAGTAGGAACAACTGAGAGGCTGACCAGGGAGGCATTGTGGTGTGTGCATGTTTATTAGAAATGCTCACAGTGTGCTTTTTGTGTATCTCAGATGTGCTTTCATGTTTCACTGGTGTATGTAAAATTTCACCTATTAGTATTTTTAAATAATCAAATTAGTGAATGAGCTACAAAGACAGGATTTCTTTCTCTGTGCACATTTGCTGAACACAATGCTTGTATTCCTTGTGTGAGGCACGGCACATGCACGTAACACATCTGAATTTCTCCTTCCATCCCTTTCCCTCTTCTCCTTCAATTCCCTCCACCTCCCGACTGCCTTTCCACTTGAGAAAGATCTTGCTCCCTATGTACTCCTTGGTTAAATTCAGATTTTCTTTGAGGATGAAAGAGAATATTTTGCAGAACTAAAGCATAAAAACTTCAGGCCGACTCTTCACAGAAGTCACTGAATCACGTGCTGGAGGGAGGCAACCAGAAAGCTGACCACCCACTGCTGCTCCTGGAGCTGATGGACTGAGAACACCGGGCCCAGCACTCTCAGGTCAGTGCCTCAGAGCACCCCATGTACCAGGCTGGCTCCTCACCACATAGGGGGTGCTGACCACTGTGTCTCCCCAGCCTGAGCTCTGTCCTGCTTACAGACCCAGCATCTCTGAGACTAGCTCTCCTTTTGTCACCCTCTGTGGTGTCCATCTCCTACCACATAGCTGAAGTGTGGTTGTTCTTTAAGTCTGCTTCTCATAGCATCTCAGTGTTTACCAATACACCTCTTCTCCAAAGGGCTCCTGGCTGTACGACTTCTACATATGAAAAAGAGAGTGATGTGCCTCCCCTCCAGGCAAGACAGTGCTGGGAACTCTGTGATAGTAATTGCACAAAGGAGTAAAGGCATTCAAGTTAAAGGAAGGAGGAAGTGAGACTCTTTGTTTGCTGATAGCCTGATCTTATGGAGCACATCCTAAGGAGTCCATGAGAAGATGTGTGGAAGTGACCACAGGTTTCTGTAAAGTTGTAAAATAAACACAAAAAAATCAATAGTATTTTTGTACAGTAATAAAAAACTATCTGAAAAGAAATTATGTATAAATCCTTTGCATAATAGCATAATATAGAACATTTATGTGTAAATTTTAACTAGATATGAATACTGATAACATATGAATATTGAACTCTGTAAAATAACAATTAAAGAAATTGTAGATGACATTGATAAATGAAATGGTAACTTAATTCCTGGATTGGAAGAATCAATGTTATTAAAATGTCCATCATACTAAAACTCTTGGATTCAGTGCAATTCTTTTCAAAATTCTCACATTTTTTGTGAAAATAATGCTAAGATTTCTGTGTAACAAAAAAGGCTGCAATTACTCAAAGAAAACTTGAGGAAAAAGACAGGCCTGGAATCATCGCATTACTTGATTTTTAAGTCTAATTTATTGTAATGAAAACATCTTGAGGGTATCATAGAAGACAGACACATTGAAATGTAATTCAAGAGAGAGCCCAGAAGTAAACCTTCATTCAAAAATCATTCATCTCTTACAAAGTGTCAAGGACACAGAACAGAAAAAGGATGGTCTCTTCAGTAATGATATTGAAATATTTTATAGTCACAGTTAGAAGTCTGACACAGGATCCTCATCTAATACCATGTACAAAAATCAGGCTATGAACTTCATGCTGTGGACTGCGTTCTGCGTAGCTGCTGAGAGAGCATCGGGGAATTGTGCCCCATTGGCTAATGGGGTAGAAACCTCCATACGACTCCTAAAGCACAGCCCCCCACATGGATCAAACAAACACAGAATTTCACATGAGCTTGCATTAAATCAAATGTCTTTTCACAGCACAACAAAAAAATTCACAGAATGAGGAAACAACTTACAGACGAGGACAAAATATTTGCAAAAAAAAACCTGATATGTGACTAATATGTACATATAGAAGGGACCAAATCAACTTAATATGGAGAAACCAAGTATTCCAATCAAAGAATGGGAAGAGCACCAACATAAAGATTTCTCGAAAGAAGGCAAAAAGTCACCAATAAATACACAAAAAATTCTCATTACCGTCAGTCATGAGGAAATGCCAGTTAAAACTAGCAGGAAACGTCACCTCACCTTCGTTAAGATGGCTACTGTCAAAAAGACGAAAGCCGACATGGGTGAAGCCATAGAGTAAAATCACCCCAGACCCCACTGGTGGATTCACACACTAGCAAGGGCATCAGGGAAACACCATGGAGATTCCTCAAACACTAAAAGCAGTGTTATCATATGACAGAGGAGTCCCCTCCCTGGATATGAATTCAAGGATCTGGAATCCATCTACTGGAGAAATGTCTGCACTTTCCTCTTCATTGCAGCATTGTTCACACAGCTAAGATACAGAAACAACCTAGATTCACTCGTCAGATAAGAGTTAAGAAAAGGTTCTGCACAGACAGTGGGCTACTGCTGAGTCCTAAAAGTGACATAGATTCTTTCGTCTGCACCAACATGGCTGTACCCAGATGATGCATATTCTGCTATGTGAAATAAACCAGGCTCAGAAAGACAAACACTCCATGATGAAATTTTACATGGAATTTAGCAAAGTTGAGTTCACAGATCTATAGAATAAAACTGTGACCTGATCTTGGAAGAGGCGGTTTATGGAAAACAGGGAGTAATTGTCAGAGAATACAAATTTCAATCAAACAGAAAGAGCAAGATCTCGAGAACAATTGTACAGGGTGGTGACTATAACAGTAATGCACTGCATGGTTTTCAGTTGCTGAAGAAGAGTAGATTTTAAATGTTTCACACCCAAAAGTGGTAAGTACAATGGGTGATACACTTGATTATTCACTTCATTTAAATATTTCACGTAAAACTTGTATCGAAGAATCACACCACATCCCATATATACATATAATTGTTACCATAAGTCACTAAATAAATGAAATTACAAAAGAAAAAAATCTAGAAATAAAAATTTCCCAGCAGAGTGGACACTAATTTCAAAATTGAAAGTCTAACTCATAATATATTACCTGAAAATATACACTGACATATAATCTGGATTTTTCAAATCCCTTGGTAAAAAGTAAGTTCTAGGTTGAAAATCGAAACACAGAGTGTTGCAATTTTATAAACTAACAGAGTGATGCAATTTTATAAACTAACACTGGAAATTAGAAGTGAATCTACTTGTTCATGCAAATATTTGGAATAAAAAAAATCTGGACAGAAAACCTACACTGAAATTTAGGAGGAAATGTAGAAATAGGATAAAATAATTCATATAAAATATTCAAAGATTCAGAATTGTTGGCTCCTTACCTTTCTAAGAATGTTACTTAAGTATAAATTTGAAAGGGATTTATTTCCCTTGAAAATAGCAAAAAAATAATGTAAGTACAGGGATATTTTGAAAAAAAATGTAGATATATTAGCTTAGTCAGGGCACATATTTCAAAACAAAAACAGAAATCACATTGTTTCTTTTTTTTTTTTTTTTGTGCAACCTACTCTTGCCAGACAGGCGCCATGCCACTGAGCAATATTCCCCACTCCCAAATGAAGTTTTGCACCTTGCATATGTACAGTTTTAATTATCAGCTATACCTAGACAGAGCTGGAGAAGAACAAACTCAGACTTCTCAGAGATGAAATATGGAAAGTCGATGGATTCCAGGCATCAGAGGAGGGGGAACCTCATCCAGACCTTCACCAGGCTGTGAGCTCTGGTGACAGGAGGTCCACAGTGCTGGTCACTACTTGCTTCTGTGAGGATCAGTAAGTACGGAGACGGAGGGAGCCTGATGCCCCTGTTGCTCCAGTGCTGGGCTGGTGAGAAATGGGCACCAGCGCTTTCACGCTGAGGATTCCGACAGGACGACTCCATGAGACAGGTGAGAATCTGGGGTCCAGTTCTGAGACATGTAGTCATGAGTATGTGTTTTATCCACCAGGATGCAAGTTTAGGACTTGAGAGTCAGAAAAATAAAAGACCCCCATTTTGAGTGAATCCATTCCTATGTGCTATTTGATGAGAAAATGCACCACAAGGTACAAGCTTTATCTTTTGCAGTGCAGGGAAATTCAAGAAGCAGTTATTGTTCCACCTGTCTGCATTCTACACTGTGGTTCAAGTTCTTCAGGGCACAGAAATTTTGAGTGATCAAGCATGAACTGCATGCTTTCCTCTGGATAACAGAAAAAAACCAAGCACTTCCAAGTTACTGTTTCCGGGAAAGTCAGTTTTTTAGTGTCTTGAAAATCATGAAACAAGAAAATGGTTTTAGAGGGGTCAAGGGTCTCAGTGTTAATCACCCCACGGTGTCCTCAGCTCTGTGTTGCTCCTGTTTAATCACCTTGTTACTTATCCTTGCCTGAGAGGAAGCACGTGTGAGAAGAACACAGTGCAGACAGCAGGATCTAAAACACTCAGGATGCTTTTCCAGATTGCTCAGATATAGCACCTGAGGTTCTCTCAACAGTGCAGGTGTCTGGTAAGGTGGAACACATGAAGCATGCCCTGATCTTTGTCATACCTGCCCATTGTTAGCTCAGAAGCATGTCAAATATTTTCAAAACATTTTGTGAAAGTGAAGCAGATGTGCAGTATTTCAGGTTAAATGCATAGGACATACAGGTACTGACCAGGAATAGGGACATGGACTTGGACTTGATCATAACAAAAACAGACACCACAAATACACTGAGAAAACTAGAAGAAGATATTCCACAGGTTTAGATCCCAATTTAAAAACTTCTATCAATTACAAATTATATATTTTCAATTGACAGATTGACATTTGTGTTTTATTCTAGAAAGCCCTAGCCTGGGAACTGAGAGCATCTGCTGAGCATTCTGCCCAGCGCAGCATTAATCTCCCTGTTGCGGAGACAGTAGATGATTGGGTTGACGAATGGGGGCACCATGGTGTAGAACATGGCCGTCAGCAGATTCTTAAGGGATGGTTTCTTTGCAGTGGGACCCAAGACAGCCACAGTCACAGAGATGAGAAACAAAAGGAGAACGGCCAGCTGCGGGGTGCAGGTGGATACGGTTTTGTTACGGGCTTCCACCAAGTGGATCCTAACCACAGTCAGAAATACGTTAACATATGATATGAGCATAAAGGCAAAGCAGGCTGAGACAAGACAAGCACTTACAGCAATGAGCACAAATTCAGAAAACTGGGCCTCTGGGGATGATATCCTCAGAATCTGAGGAATATCACAGAAATATTGCTGGATCACATTGGTCTTGGTGAAGGGAAGCCTGAACATACAGCCTGTGTGGATAGCGGAGTAGACCAGACCAGAGGACCATGAGCCAGCGGTGGCCTGGGAGCACAGACGCGGGGTGACGGTGAGCCCGTAGTGCAGAGGGTGGCAAATGGCCACATAGCGGTCGTAGGACATCACCACCAGGAAGGCAATCTCCACAGCTGCAAACAGTAAAAACAAGAAGATCTGCGCAGCACACTCTGTCAGGGAGATCATCTTACTGCCTGTCAGGGAATTCACGATGGCTTTGGGAACAATAGCAGAGATGCTGCCAAGGTCTATGAGGGCGACATTGCTTATAAAAAAGTACATGGGAGAGTGCAGACGGGTGTCCATCACGATGAGCATGACAGTTACAAGATTCCCTGTCAGCACTCCCAGATAAATCACTAAGAACAGCACACCTTGCAGAACCTGGAGCTCCCGGGAGCCTGCGACATCCATGAGCAGGAATTCTGTGAAGACGGTGAGGTTGTCCATGTCAGCCAACCCGCCGTGGTCTCTACAGAGTCAGAGGTTACAGTGAGAAGAGGATGCTACAAGCAGAGTAGAATTCTCATTAGAACTGCAGTGTGGCTTCTGATAGGATGTCAGAATAGAGTAAATAGATACAGTCAATTATCTTGAAATCCAGTGAATGCATATACTTGTATTTCAGTTTTCTTTCTCTAGATTAATAATATCCTGTTAATTTATACATTAATTGGATGAGATAATTAATCACTATAGCAGTTAAAATGAGATTAAATCCCAGCAATCGTTATTTCTTCAGTACCTTTACGTTGACTTTTCTGACTCTATGAGAACACCATATGCTTCAGTTTTTCATGCCTATCTATGACCCACATGTTCAAGCCTCTGGAACAACCTCAAGCGTTGGGAATCCCACGTCTGCTCCTTATTGTCTGGGTCCTTGGCTGGAGAATGGCTGTGATTCATGGCCTTCTCACAGTGTCCTTCCTAAGAGATATAATGCATGACCCTGAGCTTTCTTTGACAATGGCTTTGCTCTAAATAACACCAGGTCAGTTACTCTGCAGAATTCTCTCAGTTTAGGAGCTCTGCCAGATGTTTGTGTGAGCATTTTCTTTTCCCCCCTCTGTGCTGTCTATTCAAGATGGAATTTCACTCAGCACATATTTATGATTTCCTAATGCCAGTGGATAGCCTGTTCCCCTCTTGTACTTCCCTATCTGCCCATTTTATCTTAAAACAAAACAAAACTATATCAGCTTGAAGTTCTCCTCCAAAATGCAACATGCTGCTAGGCATGGATTTTAATATTTAATTAGGTACCAGTATTCTCTGCAGATCTACTTGCTTTCATAGCTTTTATGAAAATCTCATTATTCTCAAATCATTATCCTAAATTTAATTTATTTACATGGGCTTGTTCTGAAACCTTCATCTCACACACAATTTGTTTGGAAATCATCTGTTCCATACTAAAATTAGCTACATAGGAAGATCTCATTTTGGTATTATTTTATTTTCATTTGCTAAAAAAACCACTTTTTTAATATTGAAAATGTTAGCACCTACAGTATTAAATATTTGACAGGTAACTACTTTGCCATTACAGAAACATGTACTATTTTTCTGCTTTTCCATGCATAAAAATAATGATTTATTTATCATTGTACATGCATATGGCTTTTCAGTTTATAGCAAAAATGTTTTACATGATTGTTTTTGCTGGTAACCTTTTTAATTCCATGTGATTTCTTCTTTTAACCTTATTTCTCTTGTAAAGAGAAAATCTTTTTAGCAGAGAGTTTTACTCTCTAAAGCAATACCAACTGATAATATTGATAGCCTTGATATAGTATAGGTTATTGATGCAAACCACACGTGGCTATTTTCAACTTCCTACAAGATCACAGGAGGCATTAGGAGAAGCCTGGATCCCATTTCCATCCCTTTTGTTTACATGTCCTTCCTCCTCAGAGCAATTTCTCCCCATTTCCCTGTGCTAATTTATCTTCAGTTTCCATTCCTCACCGTGCCTCATGGTCCTGCACAGAAGGGGAACCCAGTGATTCCCACTGCGCCTTCTTTTTGTCAGTGTATTTTGAAATGATTTCACTCACAATATTAGAATGGACAGTAGGGTCATTGTAGTTGCTAATTCCTCATAAATTATTAAATGCAGAAATATAATAGCATAACTGAAATCGGTATTATTATTTTAAAATTTGATAGAATTTATCTATCATCCAAAATTACCTATAATAATCACATTACTAGTCATCTCAACTTTTGTTACTAATTTAAGTGTTGTTTTTGCTTATGTCATTCGAATTCAGTGAAATGCCCTCAGAAATCCCATCTGCTTGCCCGCCTCTTAGTTACCCCTTTTCAGTTTCAATGTAACTTCCAGTTACTATCATTTTTCCATTTAACATGGGGCATCTATGAAAAGCAGATCATTGGAGACATTTGAGAACTAATTGCTTGAAGTAAACAGTAGAATCTGAAAGTCTATGAATTCTGTAAGCAGGCATACATCATACGAGTCTGAAATAGTTAAGTTGGTTAAGAATTTGTAGTGCTTCACAAATACTTGCATGTGATTTAAGCATTACTTGTGGATGGAAATATATACAAATAGCATGTAAAAACTTACCTGAGAAGCAAAGCAATAAGCCTAACTTCAGAGACAAGAATGACGCTTTTGCACAATATTAAGAACCTCGATGAGATCCACATTTCTGCTTCTTTCTTATTTGAGTAAAATGTAAACTCACTTTTTAGTGAGACCCCATCGTGGACCGTGACTGCAGCCCTGCTCTGAAATAGCTGCGGGCCTGCTGAGTGTTCACCAGGTGCGTGTGGGGGCCGCACTTCTGATGGGCTCTGAGGACCTGGTGATCCCAGCCTCCCAGGAGCCCAGGTTTCTTCCAACCTCTAATTGGCCGGGATTCTTTGGCCACACAGTTGAGACTAATTAAATTTCCACAGGAGTTTGAAATAGTTTATGTGTATGACAATAAAAAGGAAGCATTACGTTTTATGTTTTTTAAAGGAGAAAAAATAATAAAAATGTTACAAAATTTTAAAACAAGATGGTGGGAAGTTAACAATGGGTATTATATTGGATATGGTTATCTTCAAAGTAGTTTCTCAGATTACAAGTTATAGGCATGCAAAATTGATCAAACAATATAAGCACTAACTGTTGCTTTCAATCGATTAATAGAAATTAGTAGTTATAGAGATTAGTATTATCACACAGCCATGGTGTGTGATAATTGTATATATATATATTATATATATAATATATATATAATATATATATAATTAAAAAAATTCATACAGCAGTTTAAAGTCAGTGAATTTCCATGCTCACAACTGAGTATGAAATTAATAACACTTTGCTATAGCAAATACCTAAAACGTTGGCTTTGCACAGTGTGCTGTGATTGGGGCAGTGACATCACTCTAAGGGCTGGTGTTCTCCAAGGAATCAGCACAAGATGCTACAAAATTATGCACGACACAAACCAAGGGTTAGAACAATCAAAATCAGCATGAAAAATTCACAGGTATTCAGTTCACAAAGTTTAATTATTCTTTTAAAAAAACTATAAGTTGTTTTCTGTTAATATGAAATAAAGAGTACCAGAAATCATATCAATGTGTGATTAAAACCTCATATTCCCATCCTGTGTCAATCAAGGCAATATTTTTTCATTCAACTAAATGCATGAATTGCACGGGCCTGGAGGTCACTGCTCAAAAGTGAGTGTCATCACACAGCTCTCCCAACCTCACAGATGGAGAATGCGCTCCTCTGTAAGCACAAAAACGTCCTTGTCTTTCATGTATCTTTCCTGTTTATCCATGGGAAGAGAATGTGTAGGTAGGAAACCTTGATCCATAGCTTATTCTGGAACCTTGATTCCTGTGTGTCCTGGTATCTTCATGCTCAGCATCACAGTTCCCGTGGGGAGGGCTTTCTTTTCTTTATTTTTCAAATGCGCTTGCTTAGCACACATTTCTGGAGGTCCAAGAGCACGGCAGGGGCACTGGTGCTGCTGAGTAGTGGGTGAGAGAGAAAGGAGGGCAAGAGAGAGAAGAGAAGACAGTGGTGAAGACCCCTGCTTGGTCTCATTGAAAAGCCTCTCTGCGGATAAATAATTCATTCTTGTTATAAACCGTTTCTGAGGATTTTACCCCCAAATTATTTAACCCCTGTAGACCCCACATCCACAAGTTCCATCATGTCTTGTTACGCTTACACTTGGGATTCCGACACACAAGATTTGGGGCACAGACTGTACACACACCACAGCATCGTGTCAGACAGGCATTTTCCTCATTTGAAAGATTCTCTGGTTTCAATCTACTGAATTTCATTGATATAGAAAGTGCAGTATTTGATCCTTTACGATTAGGTTTCTATGCTCACACATTCAGACTGGTAACTTTAATTTAGCACTAGGCAAGTCCTACCTTGATGGTTTTAGAACTAATTTCTTCCAAAAATGGTATGAGAAAGCCAAATGAAGATAATGCAGCAGTTTGGAGACAAATTCCTATCTCTGACCTTGTAATCTTCAGTAGCATTCAAGGGCATCCTAGGCTTTAATACCTGAGCCCTCAGCATGCATGTTTCTAGTGCTTCCTAAATGGTGGAATTATCCAATGGGAGCTTTGTTCTGTGTCTCCCCAGGATACATTTTATCTGTAAATACATCTGGTGCAGTAGAAACTCTGTGGAAAGAAATCAACACCCTCTCAACTTCTGTCCACAGTGCAAGTCCTTTTTCTGCCTCAGTGGGGTTGCTTTTCAGTTTGTTGGATTGAATAGTGTCGCAACAGACGATGGATGGGTGCCCTTCTCAGAGAGAGGGAGAGAGACCAAAGGGAGGCCTTCCTGGCTGCTTGACTCTCAGCAATGTTAGGACTCTCTGGGCTAAGGAGAAGTGTTGCTTAGTACTCCCTTATGCCCTCTCAAGCCTCCCAGGGGAACTTGCTGTGAGTGACTGTTCAGATGTGTCCGTGGAAGTGCAGGTCAGGACCCAATCACTTCTATAGCTCTGACCCCCACTGGGGGCTTTTTTCATGGAACACAGATGTAATGACCTTTGCTTATGTTGTTTGTTCACATTCAGTCTACACATTTGTACACAGGCACACAGATGTTAATATATTCCAGCCCCCAATCCCAAGGGCAAAGTCTAACTGAAACCGAAATTGACTCTCCCGACTAACACAGATGAGGAGGGATCAGGTCCTCTTTCATCCACATAGGAATGGAAACTGACTGAAGGACATTGCAGGGTGCTGCTACCTTGTCCAAGATAAATGTTTTCCATGTCCTTCTACTGGTCTAGTGAGGCCTTTGCTGTCATGCAGGGGCTCCTGTTCTTAGACCACTGAGAGACTATGAGAAAAGAACCAGAGGGCACGCCTTCTCATCTTCAGGTTAGAGGGTGTTATAGTTTGTGTCTCGATGTCCTGCCAAAGCCTCATGC